ACCAAAGTCCCTGAGAATGACCAAGGGACACTTTTCATCTAGCTGCCAATATCATCTCGACCTTGGCAGTGACTGACACCTTTTGACGAGGTTCGGCTGTCCTAGCAGGCCTGTGTGCCCCCTCCGGGGGTTTCTCATAGAGCACCTGCATCACCCACAGATGGGGCAGCCCTGGGGAAGCAAGCTTGGACCCAAGGTGGGAGGGGGGGTGAGGATGGAAATGCCGAGTCCAGCCCAGAATGAAACCAATTAACTAATGCGACCCCCTGTAAGCCAGGCCCAAGCCGGTCCAGCCTAAGTCCTGGAGTTCAGAAGAGGAGGAAAGGCTCTGACCCCTTGCCCCCCCAAGCACTACTCCCCCAGCAAGGCCACTGGAGCCAAGGCCCCCGTCCCTAGACCTGCCTCACAGCCCCACTCGTCCCACAGCCCGTCGAGGGCGGCTCCGGCGGCCTCCCCAGCTGTCCGGGGCAACGCTTCGAGCAGGGCCCGAGGGCTGTTCAAGGCCTCCAGCTCGGCTCATTATCGGAATTTAATCTGGATTTCGAGAGATCAAGAGGACTTGGTGGGAAGTGGCTGCCACGAGGGGAGAGGTGCTGAGGCTAAACCAAAGCCGGTTAATCCCCAGCACCGCAGAGCTTTCCTGGAGCTCAGGCAGAGGATCGCCAGCGAGCCAGATGTCCCGGCCCCACACAGCTGGGCGGCTGGCGGCAGCAAGACCCCAGACCCTTCGGCGGAGGGAGCAGGCTGGCCATGCAGCAGGGTGGCAGTGACAGAATCTGGGCTTCTTGGGGGGATCAGATCAGCCACAGGCCTTCAGCCTGAAGAAGATGCATGTCCCTTCCCTGGCCCCCAGAGCTGGGGAAATGCAAACGAGGGCCCCACCTCCACACGAGCTTAGGCCTGCGTCCCACCGGAGACTGCAAAATGAGGTATTCGGCAGAGACGGGGGGAAGCACCGTTGCAGCCAAATTTTGGGTCCCCCACCCCCATTTTCCTTTGAAGACCCCTGATTCCCTGAGATGATGGGGATCATGGTGAAGAAGACGGCAGTGATGTAGGTGATGGTGGTGATGGCGTTAATGGTGGTGGTGGTAAGGATGATGGAGATGGTGGTGATACTGGTAACACTGAACCTTTGCTGAGCACCTGCTGTGTTCTAAGGAAGCCCTGGGAGGTAGATGGCGTGATCCTCCCCATCGGACAGAGGAGGAGCCTGGGGCTCCAAGGTCATTGCTTCCAGAGGCCATGCTGGTATGTCCTGTCGGGATCTGAATCCACACCCTCAAGAGCCGGGTGACCCACCGGGGAATTACACGATACAATCATACGGCTTCTGGATGAACAAAACAAAACCCACCCAGAAAACACATACAAATAATTCAAAAAATTTTTTAAACTTTTAACTTCTGGAGAATAAAGGCCTTGCCACCTTCTTTCAGGGACAGAAAGGAAACTTAGAAACCTAAAGACAGCAGCCCCTTCCCCTCCCTCCGCTCCCTGCCTCTTTTCTACTTTGCACTTGCCAGGTCATCTCCTCAGCCTGAGAAGCTCCTGGAGGGCAGGGGTGTGGGTCTGCCACCGACATTTGCTAAGGAGGAACCTGGTCTCCCAGCAAACCAAATGCCCCCAGGAATGCAAAGCAAGGCTCGCAGCCCCCAGAGGTGGCCTGTGGCTAAGCTGCTCACAAGGGGCACCCCATGACGCCCACCCTCGCCACTTGCCAGAGAGCCGCAGACAGCCGTCCCGCCCGTCCCTCTTCCAACCACAGTGACTCAGGCCTTCTCCCCTCCCCGAGGGCCTCTGGATGCACCCCACGGAACTAAGACAGGGTCGAGGAGGCAGCAGCCTCAAACCGTGACGGGACATGAGCCCACGATGCCGGCGGGTTGACACAGGCAGAAAGACAAGCAGTGCTGGCAGCCTGGTGGGGAAGCAAAGGCTCGTGTTCCATTAAGCAACGACCAAGTAGCTTGCCCCATCTGGGTATTATCAGGCCCCTCTGTCCTCCCGACAGCCCGTGCTTGTCCCCACCTTAGGACCACGGTCTTTGCCGTTCTCCTGCCCCTCGCCCTATTCCAGCCCACGCCCCATTGCCAGAGCCTTCTTGTGATTCCGACACCCCAGCTCAGGATGGCCACGGCCACCCGTGACCGCGTGATCAAGCGTCTGCGTCCTTGTTTCCCTGTTCCCTGCCCATCTCCTCCAGCCCGTGCTGTGGGTTGCAGTGCACCCCCTAAAAAGATATGCTCAAGTCCCACCCCAGCTACCTGTGAATGTGACCGTATTTGGAAAGGGGGTCTCTGCAGATTAATTCACTTGGTTAAGAAAGGTGAGGTCGCATGGGAGCAGGGAGGGCCCCGAGGTCGAGATGGCCAGTTTCCTTCCAAGAGGAGAGAGGCACACAGGAGAAGGTCCCTCGAGGGTGCAAAGCCACGTGGAAAGAGGGGAGAGAGGACAGACAGCGGTAGCTAGAAGCCAAGAGCACTGACAATGGACAGACACCCCTGAAAGCTGGAAGAGGCAGGAAGGAACCCCACCCCTGCCCTTCAAAGGTTTCAGAGGCAGCCGACACCTCGCCTTCCAACTCCAAGCCCCCATAACCCTTCAAGAGCCCATTTCCATTGTTTTAAGCCACACACCTCGTGGGACTTTGTGAGCACAGCCCCAGAAAACCAGTTCTCTCCTCAGCCACCAATGCAGACGAGGCCCCTGTCCCCAGAGACCAGCTCCAAAGCCAGCGCCTGGCCTGTGGGTGCTCAGCAGGGGGGTGGGTGAAACACATCTCTGGGCTCACATGTCTCTCTCCAAGTGCAGCGGCCTCGGACCCCCACAAAGGAGGTCCCGTGCCTGTCACACCAGGCTTGCCCGTCTCAGGGACCGGCGGGTGGCAACGCCCCTCATGGGAAGTGGCAGCATCCCAGACAACCCTGGGGACACTGCAGTGGCCAGGGAGGGCAGAGGCCTTCCTGCCGGCATCTCGGGAAACTCGAAGAAAGAGCGGCCCAGGTGATACCAGCCAACCTTTGCATTCTCTTCAGCCAAACCCACTCGGAGCAGCCATTCCTGAGGTGAAGCCTCTTGGGGGCCGTTCCTGAGGCAGGTGTGGGGAGCCTGCTGGGAGGGGCGGGGAGGGAGTGCGGCTCAGCGTTCGCACGAGTGGGCCGATCGAGTGCTGGTGACAAATGGCCGGTGGTACCTGCGTCCTCGCTGGCCTTCAGGAGAAAAGTCAAACATATGTTTTTGTTCAGGAGTCCTGGGGGGTCTGTCAGAGTCCAGAGCAAACGTGTGTCACGCCCCCAAACGAACTCCTTCCTTCTTCCTATATTCGGTCTGAGGGGCGGGGCACCGATGTCGGGGCTCACTGGGGGGCCGGAGTGCCTATCGTAGATTCGGAGGTGCCTCCCAAGCCCGCCTGCCACCTCCCCCACAGCACACCCTCCTTCTGAGACCCTCCCCGCCGGCAGCGTCTGCTGGCCTCCCTGTAGGGCGAGTGGGGCCGTGCACACAAGCAGGGGCCCTCAGTGCAGACTTAGTCCTGCCCATCAGACTGACAAAGACCAAAACAGCTCGATCAGAGATGATGTTGTGAGCACACAGGAGATCGGCCTCCCCCTAGCCTGTTGCTATAAACTGACACAACCTCCGAGGACAGCCGTCCGGCAAAATCGAACCGTTACCGACGTGTGCACCCTCGGATCCCATGATTCTATCTCCGGGGCTGTATCTGACGGACACGCACCGGTGCGAAATAATGTTGTCCACAAAAATAACGTGCCTCCCGCCTGTCACACGGGTGAAGAACCTCAAGGAACGGGGAGCAGAGGCGGCCTGGGGGGTGGGCACCGGGGCCCAGAGCCGGGATGGAGCCTTCCTGGTCACTGTAGCAGCTGTTCTCTTGTCCATGTGACAACGTGACGGTCTTACCTACGCAAAAGTCTCTTTTCAAAAGAACTACTTTTTGTACACCCAGGTTCAAGTCCTACTTTGGCCACTGTCTAGCCAGGTGGCCGCAGGCAGATGACTCACCCTCGGCTTTCAGCTCCTAACGCTCCCCGCGTCCCAGAGCAGCGGCCGCACCACAGGGCTGCGGGAATACAAACCAGGTAACAAATGCAAAACAGTGGAAACCCCTAGAAAGAGAGGCTTGGTTGTCTTAGTCTTTAAAAAGATGACCCGTGAAGGAGGTGGTGACGTCTCCTCTGTCCCCAGGGTGGTAACGGGTCCCCATTCCCGCTGCAAATGCTGGGACTGTCCATCAGGAGGCGCCCACAGCATCTTCCCGCCATTCCTTACTGGGGAATGGCATCCAGCCACGACAGGAGTCCACCAGCCTGAGCCTGCCGTGGAGCCAGCCCCTGGGCAGCACCACTGAGGCGGGAGGGGGGGGGTGAAGGGTGTCACAGTCACCTCTGGAAGAACTGATGTGCTCACTCCATGCTCTGGCCCATCTCTGAGCCTCCTGACCTCTTGGGAGTCCTCAAAACTAAAGGGTCTCCAGACAGTCAAATCTTTCAACCCAAGATCTGGGTTCCTGACCTCGTGATTCTTAGAAGGCCGAGTTCTCTCTCTGCCTGTTTATTTCTGGGTTGGGGTTTTGATCCCATTTTCTTACGGATGGCCGCCTTCACTGGCTGTCTGAGGTCATGTGCTGGGCTTCACGGTGAGCAAGGAGACATAGAGAGACCCTCAAAAAATGCTTCTTCCTCTTCCCTATCCCCATCCCCTCTGTGCCCCTGAACCAGACCACCCACAATATGCCCACGGGCTCACCTGGCCATCCCCCATTCCTAACTCGATTTGCTGATGCAGAGAGTTTAAAGAAGCAACCCACAGCATAAACTTTCTTGATGAAAAAGGTGCAGTGTAGGGCCTGGCACGTGGTTGGCGGCCCAGGACATAAATGGCCCGACCGCCCCGGCCCCAGCCCAGCCACCACCCCTTCTTCCTCTGCCGCTGAGGGCAGCTCGGCACCCCTCCCAGGCACCGGTCCCAGCACCCACCTGCCCAAGTGCTCCTGCAGCACCTGGTAAACGCTGATCCGGAACGTCTCGTTGTCGAAGCGCTCCCGAATGTAGTCCTTGTAGATCCGGAATTCAGCTGCCGTCACAGCCTCCCCTTCTGGGATCTTGGAAAGATCAAACCGGAACTCCCGATGGTGGTAGCGTGGGTAGAAGAACTCTTTGTCGTGCTCCACTGCAGGGAGGAAGCACACGCCACACCGAGGGCTCATTAGTTCCCGGCTCTCACTCTCCCGCCGCAGAGTCCAAGCCCGCCCACAGCTGGACCACCCTGGTGCCCACCACCCCTTCCACACTGCCCTGCGGAAGCCTGGAGACACACAGCCTTGGCCCTGTGGTCCCCTTGAACGAGAGCAGTGACTCGGCATCAATCCGCTGGGAAGAGTGGGTCACCGACCGAGCCATCCCAGAGGCCCTGGACACACTCTGGTTCGTGGGCCTGGGTTCAAATCCAGGGTCAGCCACTAACTGGCAGGCCTACACAAGGTACCGCTAATCTCTCTGGACCTCCATTTCCTTATCTAAAAATGAGGATCATTATCCTGCATGGGTTGTTGGGAGAGCTAAGAAACCTAACACCAGCAGCTTAGCCTCTGGGAGGGCTCGACAACAGTGAGCTATGATGAGTGTAGACAGACCTCATTCTGCTTGTCATGGGGTCCCTGAGGCCCAATGGTGTTCAGCCCCAGCAGCAGGTGAGAATCACCATGGGGGCTGTGGGAAAACGCTGAGGCCCTGTCCCAGTGGTGCACTGGTCAATATTGAGGAACTGGGTCTCTGGGACCTTATCGGTCGTGTCTGTTAGTTTCCATTTCGGCAGATTTCGAGCTCCTGAAGTGAAATCACTGAAGATGGGGGTGGGAGGCTGACATGGGGGCCTCCAGCCCCTTGCTGTGCTTACCCCCCCCCGAGCCAACTGACTCAGTATCTTTGGGGAGGGGGCCCAGAAACCCGTACTTCTTAAAGCACCCCAGATGTTTCTAACAACTGCCAGAGTTTCCAACCACGGCCTTAGACTAAAAGCAGAAAAAGCGGCAACAGGTCAGGGAGTGTGGCTTTTTAAAATGACTTCTGGATAAAACAAGGCAAAGGCCTCAACTCTTCTCCTTTATACCAGCAGTGAGACTAGACTGAGGGACTATGCCCATTTCATCGATAATAAATGTTAAATGGATATAAGCCCAAAAAGAGTGTTTCTGGAAGGGGCCTGTGATTCCCGAGATTCATGTATCCTCTGGTCCAAAACGGAGCAAGGATGAAGCTGGGAATCAAGGGCTGGGAAGATGCAGAATGGCCAAGTTCAAGCAAGTGTGTGACATCTGCAGATACCTTTCCTCTCCCGGGAGACACAGCCCATCTCTGCTTCCTGCCTGCGGTGGGGGACGACCAGGGATACGAGAAATAGAGGAGAAATGTGCCCAGCTTCACCTCTGGCTTCAGCTTCCTAATCCCTAGAGGCTCTCAGGCAGGGTCAGGGGTGCCCAGCTGCAGGCAGGACACGAACACCTTTGAGGAAAAGGGTTCCCAACACCCGCAGGCCAACGGCCCTTCCTACAGACCTTCATTTAAAAAAACAACAATAAAACTGTTTTAAACCTTAATAATAGTTCTAAAAGATACTGGGATGAGGGCTGGGGTAGTGACGGATTATCCTCATCAGTCTGTTTCCTGTTGGGCAGACGGGGCAGGTGAAGTCTTCAAGGCCAGGGAACTCTGGCTATGTACAGCAGTGACTCTGCCTCCGGGGAGATCTCGGGAAGGTGACCTCCGGACTTCAGCTGCTGGAATCTTGGGCCATACGTAGAGAGCTGGCCACAGGAATGACCTCTCCAGAAAACATCCCATGGTCACTGAAGACTGCACCTGTCCTCCTCACTTGCTCTGTCCTTGACCCCCACCCAGAGCACTTGCCTCCTGACCCAGTCTCAGGGAAAGGCTAAGTTGGGGGACAAAGAATGCTGATAGGGGAGTCCCCAGCTTTGATTTACACAGAAAGTGGATAGGGTAAGGGTCTTTGTGGCAGCCTCTAGGAAGTGCAGCCCACGGTGGGGGTCAAGTGAGCCCAGGAGGGGACCTCTGAATGAGGGAGCAGAGCAAAGCGCCCTGGGTCGGTCACTGTGTTAACGTCCGGGGCCAGGCCTCTGTCATCCTTCTCACTCAACCTTCAGGTCACCCTAGGAGGCGAGCGCAATGCCACGTTGGTAGGGGGACGTACCTAAGAGCCAAGAGGAACTGACTGCCCTGTCCAGGGCCAGAGAGGGACCTCAAACCCAGACCCGGCCAAATCTTAGCCACGCCTCTCAGTGGCCACACTTCCGGCTCTGCTAGGGCAGCTCTTAGGCCTGTGGTCAGAACTTTCTCGTTGCTGTTCAGCGTACATATGATGTGCACGCAAAATGCATGTGTGTGCTTCTGTGCGTGTTGCCGTGAGCGTCCCCATGAGCCCTCCTCCCAGACCAAGAAACAGAATGTCGCCAGCTCCCCTTTCCTCTCCCCCAACTTCTCAAATCTCAGGTTGGTTTTGCTCGTTTCAGAATATCACAAACAGGAAATAACACCGTACATATTCTTTTGTCCATGGCCTCTTTGATTCAACAGTGTTTGTGGGGTCCATCCGCGTGCCTGGGGACGGCCACCCAGCCCTGACGCCGTGCAATAGTCCCCACATGGACTTCACCACGATTCACATGTCCATTCTGCAGTCCGTGAGCATTCGGGTCATTTCTAATTTGGGGCTCTCAGAGCAGGGCATTCTGGTACCCGTGTGCCCCGCCCGTATCTGGTGAATGTGGGGAGGCATGGGCGGAAGTGGAATTGTGTGTGTTTTCCCCATTAGTCGTATTGCTGAGCTGTTCACCCCAACTATCACCCTGGGAGCTTTTGCAGAGGGTGCCAGGAGGAATAGTGGAGAAACGCAAGTTCATCCTGTTAGGGAGATGGGCCCAGTCTGGGGGCCGTCAAGGGCTTTTTTGCAAGGGACTGGCTGAGGGCAGTAAGGCAGCCACCCCTGGAGAGCACCTCCCCGCCAGCGAGCAGTCCGTGCATGAGCCTCTGCAGTCCCCCAGCCGGGCCCCCTCGCTGAGCGAGCAGCCGTGACCACGCCTGAGCTGCCCCGCGGCACCCCCCGACCTGAGGTCACCGAAGACCATCTCCTAACGAAACGGAAAGGCTGTCTTATGGCCATGATCTTGCCAGTCTTCCAGGTACCAGCATGCAGCAGTTGGTTCTTCCTGCCTTCGAAAACCTCATCTTCCTGTGGTTCCTTCCCCTGTGAACAGCTAGCTTCTCCCCCCCACTCTCTGGCCACTCTTTGAACATCATCTTAGTCCCATTGAAGTCCCCAGGAGCTGTGGAAGAAAAGGGGAGCATCCCACGGGCCACCCCCCTCCCCGCAAGCTGACAGGCCACGCTAAGTCTCCATTTCCAACCACCTGCCTCATTCCTGCCCCAGAGATGGGGGTGCAGAACCCCCACTTACAATGAAGCCGAACAACCCAGAAGGACAAAAAGGCATATTCAGGGAGCTCTTGCTCTGAGTCGGCTCCCGCTCTGAGCACTCCCAGCCCGGCGGGGTGGGATTGATCCCCATTTCACAGATGAGGACCCTGAGGTGCGGAGAAGCAGGTGACTTGCTCAAGGTCACAAGTTTGGTCCGTGACTGGGCTCTGAAGCTCACACTCTTGACCTTGACCTTTCTAGAGCCAAGTGCGCTCAGCTCGAATCTGTGTCCCTCCCAGCCGTGTGGTCTCAGCCGAGTGACTTAACCTCTGCATGCCTCCCCTCGTCCCAGAATAATAGTGGCCCTTTCTCTGTACAGAGTTGGCACTTACGGCAACATAAGTTCATGTCTGCCGTTGTCATGGGGCCTCTCAAACAGTGAAGCAGGAGAATGCCATCCATGCAGAAGAAGCCTTATTCGAAGGTGGGTATTTGCATAGTTCGGCTGTGACAACTGTATTTGAAAAATACCACAGTCAGACCTAACACTAAAGAAATGTTTGAAGGAGCAGGGCACTAACACAGGTGCAACCACTCAAGTCACACCCGGGAAAGAAAGAAAACACTGACACATAATCACAAAAATAAATCTGTAGCAGCAGGTGTGTATGTAACTTCTTAAACGTAGAAGATAAAATGTATCTTAACTGGTAAGACAGTTAAGATACCAAGGCTGTAAGGTTTCTTTTGTTAACAAGATCTATGCATAGCGTCAGGCTAAATTTCTTGCAAACACCTGCAGGCTCTCCCGGACAGTTTTCTGCATGCATCGCCTTCCTTAATTATTTTAAGACAATGAGCAGTCGGAATCACATTCACCTTCCGCTCTTCCTGAAACCACATCACCGTGGGTTCTAAAAATAATTTTGTAATCTATCAAAGACAGTAATTTTTTTTTTTAAAGAGGAGTTCATAATTCAAAGTCCAAACCAAATTCCAAATCTCATCCTTCCAAGGCTTCCACTTCATACAGAAGCCACTCCATGGCAGGGAATCCACACCGTTTCGAGCTCAGGGGTCAAGGCAGTTCAACTGTCACCCCTGAAGTAGGTAGAAGCATATACTTTTAGGGAGAAAATACAGCTTTACACGTCTTTCTTACATTACCATACCTGCTTACCCAGGACTTGGGTTTTTCGATAATTGTCCAGAGTTGGTATCTCCCTTTGTCCATAAAGAGAAGCTTTCCGAAAGCAACCCAGACCCTGGGAATCCAGCTTTCTCTGCACCGCCCTGAACATTCCAGCACCCCACCGGCTAAGAGAGCTCACAGGCATTAACGAAGACTTTCATCTTCAAAAGATTAAAAGGGCCCAAATCCCCGAGACCAAAAGATAAGTCCAAAGAAAATAGATTCCGGAAAACACCATTCTGACAGCAACCAGCCCCAAGACTGTCCCCAGAACCAATTCTAGTGTCATTTTACAAAAGCCTGGGATAATAATCCCAAAGCTGGTTCTGGGAGTGGTCTTTCTGGGCTGGAGGGTGTCCATAAAGGGTAGAGGCAGGTGGGAACCGGAAGCCACCCACTAGGGCGTCCCCTCCCATGACCCTTGGACATGCGAGGGGAGACCTCTGCCCCACGTACAACCCCAGAGTTCTGCCTCCTCTCAGCATCTGAACGCCTCCTCCCACTGTCATGACACAAAAGGTACAGGCATAGCTCTCACTAAGTAA